CCACGGCCCCTCCTTACGATCGCTGCTTGTCAGCTCGGCTTTGCTTCAGCCGATTCCTTCCAGAGCTCTCAAGGCGCTGAAAGAACCAGTGGACACGTTTCCCCAAGACTCTCCTGGAGCCTGCGCTTCTTCACTGCCAGTGCGTGAGGCAGCTGACAATTAAAGTGAGCGTCGGCAGGGCCGAGATATTCAATCCACAGATCCTCATTAAAGCTTCACACCAATAAAAGTTGGCAAAGGTGAAGTCAGTTTTACAAGAGATCGGCTACAGGTCAACCGAAAGCACAACATGGAGAGCAGGCGATGCATAGAAATGGCACATTCAGCCTTAAAAAAAGGTTAATTTGACTATTAATGAACTGACAAACTTGCGCACAGGTGAAACACCACCTCGTTCCTTTGGACGTAGGATTTAACATGGTTCAAACAAAAATGCCCATCTTAGTGTAGTTTACATGGATTTCATTATGAGCAAGGGCTGGGTTCGGTTGGGAACTTTTTGGGGAACGGGGAAGGCAATAAATATTAAAGGCAAGGCGCTAAATCTACCTTCTTTCAACTAACGTTGAGAGAGCAGCTCGATCTAAAATTTTATTTTCCAAGAAGTTGCCCCATCAGTATTTTATAGAATTTGATGTGTTCAACTCTATGTGAAAAGTTGCAGCTGAGAAACCCCTGGGAGCACATGCAGATCAGCCTCTTTTCAGAAACCATCTGACTGCCTGGGAAGTTTGGTGGGAAATCGTAAATACATATTAAGAAGAGACACAAAACCAAGAAAGCATCTTTCCTTCCTTCCTTCCTTCCTTCCTTCCTTCCTTCCTTCCTTCCTTCTGCTTTGTAAAAATATCATATGCTAAATTGTAGTGAACTGGCTAGAGACCATTGACTGGTAGGCAGTATATACAGGGTTACAGATATATACAGATATAAATACATAAATATCTGTACATCGTCATGGTTAGCTTTCTGCATCAACAAACTCTGGCTTGTCTTGCAGGGCATGGGATGATAAGCTGTAAGTGAATTGTTCAGCTGTTGAGTTTCATAAACAACCCAGACAGCTTTGACGATTGGGCAGTACAGAAATGAAATTAACAGCAGTAGCTTGTTTTTCTTTCTGTTGGAATAGGTAAAGTATGCATTTGGTATGGGAAGAGTGCCTGCTTTCCCCCTCATGGGCTAACGTGTGAAAATACTTTTAACAAAATCACTTTAAAATGCACATTAAAATGCGCATTTTGGAATGAGATGGCAAATTCAGGAGCACGCAATTCCCTCCACACACCTCACTCCTAAAAATGGTCTTACTTGTATTTGCACTCACGATTACGCCGGGGACAGGCTTGTGAAGTGAAGCAGCGTTCCTTAATGATATCTTTTGGGCCGGGCTGAGAGTGTTTTGACTCCATAAAGACTGGCACCTGCCGAACGGGTTTGCCATCATAATGAATATTGCAAAGTGTCTTGCATCGAACAGATGTCAACAGATACTGTGCAGGTCTGTTTCTGGATCCCTGTTTTGCCACCTGCACTCTTGAAGATGGATTGTGAATGCCAACTTGGCAGCCATCATAATGAGCTTTTAAAGAAGGCAGCACTACTAATTAATCTCCCATTTAAGCAGGCCACCTGGTGTCATGGGCTGGCAGGAGCAGCCAGGTGTTTTGACAAGAGAGGTTGCAGTGACTTATAAGAGAATCACAACATCTGGGGAGGCCGAAGTGACTCAAAATGGGAGCAAGCAACCCACCGTCTTGGGACTCTACAATGTCTGTTGTTCTCCAAGGGACACGCTCCACCAGATGCTCAGAGGATGAAATGGTCCCTTTTGTTTCCCCAAGTTCTCTCTCTCTCTCTCCTGAAAAGGAAGAGCTTGGCAAATTTTGATAAATTCTCACAAAGAAGTGAACGGAAATGTAGCCCTCACTCTCTGCGCCAGCCAGATTCAGTTGGTTTCCCGCATGGGGAGAACCCCAGCGAACCTTTCCGCTGTTCGGCTGACGAAGAATCAGCCAGAAAGAAAGATGGCTTCCTCAGTCACAAGCAGTAGTAGAATGGAACAAAAAAATTGAAAGGAGAGATGCATAGATCTAAGAAGTGGGGTGCTTCCTATCTCACTGTCCCCACTATTTCCTGGTACACATTGAGAAGCCACTTTTAAATGTCCTCAGAGAGAGAGAGCTGAGGGGTGTCCACAGATATCACAGAGCAGAGAAAAAGTGGTATTATTACAAAAGTGAAAATAAATTTTACACTTGTATAATTGTGCTATTTTGCCACACCACAGTGCCACCTAGAGGTCATGTGGTAGAAAGTTTCGAAAAAACATGTTCATTCAGTGCCTGGATCTCAATTCTGCAATGAAACCAAAGGCAGTTACAGCAGTTTAACAGCCTCGCTCAGAAAACTCAGTCTCCATTCAACACATAATTTTAGATAACTTCTAGGTAACTCTCCCGTGGGTGATCATCCCATTAATGAATTAGTCTGGTGGGTGACTTGGGTGACTTCAGCTCAAGTCCCCCCCCCCCCGCACTGAATCATTCACTGTTTCACAATCCTTCAGCCTCAGTTTCCCATCCAAAAAACTGGAGTAAAATCAACTTCCTTTACTACTTTTGTCAGAATGAGAAAAGAAGAGAAGAAGATTGTATAAAATGAACAGGCATTCCCCTAATTACTATCAGCAGTCCTATGCCTCCCGCATCCCCTGGGGGTTTCTACCTGGCTAATTTTAAATCAGTCTCCTGTGACTATTCTCCACCACCACTATCTGGAAAGACTTCATTTTGGGTCAGCTACAAATACATGTACCAGATGTCACTTATTTTAAAGGGAGAGGAATCCCCCACCTTGCTTCCTTTAAAGGCTATCTGTTCTTTCAAATCATTGCATCTCTCCATATGGCCAAAGTCTCGCCGGCTTTTCTTTTCTTTTTTCTTTCTGGGTGACATCCAGAAGAAAGAAAATGTGTGTGTGTGGGGGGAGGGGTTATTCCAGTTTTTTCTCCCCCCCCCCCTTAATACACTGAACTGAAGGGCATCCCCCAGAGCAAAGTGAGCCTGAACGATGTCCGGGGAACGGTGGGAGTAGAGGAGGAAAGGAGAGGGCCGTATGTGCCCAGCTTGTAGATCCACAGTGAGAAGGTCGGAGAAGCATCTACTAAGAGAAGGTTGTCTCCTGGGCAGTCTAGCTATGTAAACAATCCATGACAATAATGGTGACATGAAAATTTAAGCCCTTGGGCATGGAGCCAACAAGAAATCTTCCAAGCACCACTAATCATGTCGGTGGCCTTCAGAAAGGTTTGTGGATCGAGAGAGCCGAATCCTCTTTGCAGCCCCTCAGCTTATACGGTGGGAGACACTGGGGTGTTCCCAGTCCAGTGAAGTCTCTCATCGTGATCATCTGGTAAATTAACTCATCCATCAGCTGGGGAAGTGGGGGTCCCTGGAAAGCAGCCCCCCTGCCTTCCAGCTAGAACATCACAGCTCAGGAGAGACCAAGCCAGCCCTGAGCATCTTCCAGGGAAGGAAGAAAGGCAGACAGTTTGTTTCACTCTTCCCTGGCAGAACGGCCATCTAAAAGAACGAGGAAGTTAAGAATGGGAACCTGTATTTTGCTTTTTCCCTCCTCCCCCAATCCCTTTTCCTGTTGTGTCTGCTCTTTCGGATCATGAGCCAGAGGGTAGGGAATGCCTTGTTTTACTGAATCATTTCAAACCGTTCCAGGAGCCCTTCTTGGGGCTGAGGAATAGCAGGAATAGGCTCAAAATGAAGAAAATGAGGCTGACTGCCCCAGATCGCTCCTCACTGTACCAGATCAGTTCCTGTGTACCAAAGCTTACCTTGATAAATTGCATTGGTGCTGCTGCCGCTGTTTCATTATTAATCTTTATAAGCTTCTCCGAGAGCTTTTCTTGGGTGAAGAACAGAGTAAAAATACTGTACATAAATACATCTCCACATACGCTCCAGGAGTCCCAGCCAGATGTTCAACACCTGCACCTTTCCCAGTGCGGCAGCGCCAAGCTTTAGAACACGCTGCATTCACCAGCCATGTTGGCTGAGGAATGCTGGGAATGTCAACACTTCCCCCCCGCTAAACATGCATCAGTAGAACCGGCTTTCTTTGCCCATCACCATGTTTATCTGGCCTCAAAGGCAAATCCCATTTCCAAGGGTTTTTTTTTTTGGAGAGGACGGTTTGTTTCGTCAAACACCCCACTTGCAGGCGCTCGCATAATCATGCTGAATGTATTAAACAGTGAAAGAAAACAAGAAACAGGAAATCCTTCAAAAGCAAAAGATATGAGATGAAAACAGAATTAAGGAAGAAAACGCCCAAACCAGGACAAGAAGGCCCCTGAAAAGAGCACGAGTGCCGTACCATGAAAACAAGAACTCCCAAGCGTGTCTATGCACACACACTCATGGTAAGCCAGCAAGGATTCTTGCGAGCAAGCAAGCAAGCAAACACGAGCATTCCCTTTTAGAAAAGGCAACTCCCAGAGTGCCCCTTGCTTTTGCCCTCTGTGGGCGCTGTGTGTGTTTCTGGACACTGGCATACAGGCCTGGCATTGACCGAGCTGGTGCAGGAATGAGGACCCTGATGCTGGGGATGATGGAAGGCCAAAGGAGAAGGGGGCTGCAGAGGTTGAGGCGGGTGGGCAGGGTCACTGGGGCGGTGGGCGTGGGTGGACTCCGGGGAGGGTGGAGGACAGGAGAGCCTGGAGGACGGTTGTCCGGGGGGTCGCGACGGGTCGGGCACGGCTTTGCGACCTAACACAACAGCAGGAGGGAGGAAGCTGCTCAGAAAATGGAGCTCTGCGGACTCCCCGAGTCTGGCCGTGATGCGCAGGGAGCTCGCAATGAGAACCTGCCACCGCGCGTATCATATCAGTATTATTTATTGACTTAAATATAGGGAGCGATTTATATATCTACCTGCAGCGGCCCCACGTTCCCCGCCCCCCACGCCCCGCTCGCCGTCGGCCCTCAGTTCTTGCTTCTGGCCTTCTGCTCGCCGGAAACGTACGGCAGCACGGTCTGCGTGCTTTTGTCCGACACGGTCTGTGTGCTGCTGTTCCGCATCAGCTTCCGCTGCTGGGCGCCGCTGAGGTGCGGAGGCCGCCGGGGCGCCACCTTGGCGAGGGCCGCGGCCTTGTGGGCCCCCTCAGCGGGCTCCTCGGGGGGGTCCTCGGGAGGCGGGCCCCCGTCCGCGCCCTCCTCCTCCTCGTCGTCGTCGTCGCAGCATAGCGCGTGGTAGAGGACCTTGTCACTGAAACGGACCCGCTCCCTGGCGCCCGGCGTCCTCTGGTGTTGCGCTTTGTGGCGCGGGGCAGCGCCAAAGGCCTCCTCGCTGGAAGAGTCCGGCGTGCCCACCCGGGGCCCGTTGGGGACCGGGACCCCGCCGTTCATCAGCCGGTAGTCGGGCTGACGCCCCGGCTGCTCGGAGCCGTCGCCGGAGTCAGACGGGGTGGAAGCCTCCAGGAAGGAGCAGAACTCCCAGCTGTCGGAGAGGATGTCCATGCTCATCAAGTCCAGGTGGCCGAGGTCAAACACGCCGCCTCCTTTGTCGCTGCTGGACGTGCTGCTCACGGTGGCCGTTGTCCAGTCGTCCGGCTCCAGCTCGAACTCGAAGTCGGACGTCAGCTTGTCGATCTGGCTTACCACCTGAGGGGGAAGGCCAAACAGCAATTACACACAGGGAGTGTCGGAGCTCGGCGTCCCCTCCCCAACGAGCCAAGCGCTTGGGCAAGTATGAAATGAGGCTTTTTTCAGAATACAGAAACAACGTGTTCACAAGCCTCACAACACGCACCCCGGGTGGAATGCTGACCCCTCGCTCTGCCCCACTTTACCCAAAGCTCTGCTCATGGACCCTTCCGGGCCAGCCTCTGGGGGGAGGCATGCTGTGGAACCTGGCGCACCAATGCTCTTCCCATTGAGCCCCTAATTGGTCCAGCCGGTGGGTGCGTCGACGGGCCCTTGTGTCCACGTCTCCCGGGCGCCAGGGTCTCCTCCCGAGAACCCTTCCCCAGCTTGTTCCCCGCTGGCTTCTTCCCCACAATCCGGAGTGGCCACTCTCCCCTGCCAGCACGGCCACCGCACCGCGTATTTCGTACAGTACAGCTGCCCTCCTTAGTGAGAACATGGGTCCACCAGGCACAGCAACTGTCAGCTCTGGGAAGGACAAAGGGGCCTTGCTGGAGATGGCCTGGATTCCCGGAGCCATGGGTCACCTCATCCCTGATCCGATAGCCTTTGCAACGGTTTCTTACTCTCCAGGATGTAACTCACGCAGCAACCGAACCGGACATTCGCCAGTTCCCCTAAAAGAATGCCCATTCCTCACTTGTGCAATTCTCCACCATACCCTGACCCAGGGACTGATTCTGTCCACAGAGACAATTTGTGGAAGCTGAACTGGGGATCAGGAGCAAGACGAAGGCCGGCACATGTTGGCTGCTGGCTTGCGCCGCTCGGACACTCGGTTGCCCCCGCGTTCCGCGCTGGTGGCACGCTTCCGTGTGCGGTGGGGAAAAGCCAAACGCTCATCCGCCTCTCGGTAAGGCTGACTTGTGGGCCTTCTCCAGGATTATATAAAGGGTTCTTTGCCAGCTGTATCTACTGATGGGGCGGACCCAAGTTGTGGTAGCGCGGCATCTCTGAAGGCCTTCCGATTCGGGAAGGCTGCTCCAGACAGCCACAAAAACAGGAATAGCTCAGCTCCAGAAGTTCCCCTGCCTCAACCAGCACCGTTGCCTGGGGAACAGAGCTGGAAGGAACAAATGCCACCCGCACGCAGCAGCAAAGGCTGCGGAGGGAATGGACGGGAAGGCGGCTCCCCGGCTCCTGGGGTGAGAGACCCTGGGGCCTTCTGCAAGCCGAGCCGAAGCTCCGTGCCGAGCATGCTCTGTCCCCATTCTCTGGGGCGGCTTTTCGGCTTCAAAGCAAACAGTGTGTTTTTGTGCAGGTGCTTGAAACCCAGGTGTGGCATGGTGATGGGGAAAGGTGCCATCAGAGGCACCGCACTTTATCCAGATCCGAAAAGGCAGTGACAACAGGGAGAGATGGAGGAAGGGTGGCCCTGGGAGGAAGCTGGCCTGCACCGCGATGCTCGGCGTGTGTGTCTGTTGAAGAGGGAAGACTGGCGGGGGGGGGGGGGGTCAGGGGCAAATCTCATGTTCACCCCGTGTAAAACTGCACCTCCCCCCCCCGAGGGACAAGAAAACACAGTGGTGCTGGGCTGAAACCCACCGCCCTACTGCAGCCCCTCAGTTTCCCTGTGAAAGAGGCAGAGTTTTCTTCTGCCACTTTTGGTAGAGAGAACAAAAAGAAGAGAGAAATGGGGTGGCACAAAGGGGGAGAGGGAGAGAGGAGGAGGAGGAGGAGGAGGGCCTGACCTCAGCCCTTTTATTTCTGACCATGCCCAGTTTCATCTGCTTCCACCGCCACCATAGAGCTCTTGACAGATCCTCCCCAAGGGAATGTAGCCTTTGAGTGGAAAACGGTGCCCCACCCCAGTTTAAAGAAACATGAGATTGCCTACAAGCCTGCAATCTGATCAAGGCCATGATGAAATCACAACTGAGGCTGAAACGATGAACAGACCAGTTGCAGGCCGAGCCGTAACCGAGCTGGGGAGCATCCCCTCCCCACCTCACCTTGGTCCCTTCACTGGCCTTGGATGTCCCACCCGTGAGGGAGAGAAGCACCCCAAACGATGGCCACCGAAGCATCGCGACCGGCGGGCGCCCGTGCAGCTGCATCCCTCCAAATACCCAGCAGATGGAGATGTGATATGGCAAGTCAAGTGGAGCCGATTGCTTCTTGAGGAGGAATGCGGCTTTCCACAAATGCTTCAAGTGCACCCCGAGCAAATTCATTCTGCCTGTGAAGAATTCCTTTTGAACATCTCGCATCCCCTGAAAAGGAAGGCCGGTGAGCACGCAAGCAGCCGGGCCTCCTGTCCGTGCTCTGCTTAATGCAGCGCGACTGAAGGGCAGCACCGACAGGGATTAAGTACAGCCGCGAAGGCACGAAAGCAAAGCAGATGCGAGAAGAGAACGCCGTTCTCCAGGCAGCTCATGCCAGCCTTCAGCATTCCGGGACCCTCCGGATAGGCAGGCCTGCGGCTCACCCCGGAGTGCCGGCTCCACCTGGAAGACGGCCATCTGGGAAAGGTGCTCTCACGAGCTCCGTGGAACAGCCAGCGTGATGCAGTAGTCGAAACACCGGGCCAAGGCTCTGGAGATCAGAGTTGGCTCTCTGCCACTTTCGCATTCGCCAGGTGTTTAGAACCTCAAGTTCTTTCTCTTACGAAGAATTTTGTGGATTTCAGTATGCTCTAAGCAAAAATGTACTGAAACAAAATGCTCATTTTTCTGCCCCAACCCAGTGCAATAGTCCCCAGCACGGACGGAAGGCCAAAGTATCTGCCTGCCAGAGAGCGGGTGAAAAGCCTACGAAAAAACGAGGTGGCAACTCCTTCAAAGCACCAACATGGTTAAATGAGCAGGCTGGATGCAGCCGACGTTTAAGAACTCGGGAGTCAGGACCTGGTGCCCAGAGGAACTGATCCGCTTCTCTTGCGCTCATGCACTTCTTGTCCCAGAGATGGAAAACTTTGGTGACTGTGGGTAAATTAGTCCCAGACCTGAACTGAACGTCTCTGCTCCAAGGTGCCAGTGTGGTTTGAGGCAAAGCCTCTTCATCAGGGGCAATTAAAGCAAAACGATCCAGCGCATGAATAACTTTTGACGTGTGGCCACCAGTTTCCTACCATTCATGCGTCCCTTCCTTTAAAAAAATGACAACCCCCGTTTGCATTGCTACAAGATGAACGCGAGATGAGCACGGGAGATGTAATTTATGAGCTCTTGCTCTTGTGTGGAGTATATGGGTATGCAGTTAATTGAACAGGCAATCAGAGGGAATTTTAGTCAAATGGCACGCCAGTCAGAGCGTATTATGTGCCTTCCATGAAGAGACGGAGTGCGCAGCTCCGATAAAGCGGGGATTGCAAGCGTCTGCACTGAGGGCCGGCTGAGAGGTCCTTATACTTGCTGTGTGGGGAACATCAGCAGGGCAGCCAGTTTCTCAGGGCCATTCAGAGTGGTCCTCGGTGGCCGGAATGGGACACCCAAGAGTCCGACTTCAAGACAGTAGGACACCATTTTCTTTTCTGGCGCAGTTCTGATGAAAGACAGGAGGGAGAGAGGAAGTGAGAGAGAGGGATGGGGGCTTGCCCAGAATCCCCTCCAGGAGGGTTCCTGACCCTTAAGGAGACCCCCATCACTTGCTGGTAGATGACCAGGACGTGTGGCCTGGTGGTCACCGGGGCCCTCAGGGATGGATGCAGGATGGCGCTTGGGTTGCCAACTCCTTCGGTCTCCCCGCCCCCTTCGAAATCCCGTTCCCCCTCAGCTGAGCCGCAACCCCCACACTAGCTGTGTGTGTGTGTGTGTGTGCGCGCACGCGCATGCACACACACACACACACACTTGGGTCAGCGTCGCGTTATAGTGGTCATCATTTCTATATCGCCCGATAGCTGAAGATGCCTCTGATGTTTTCAATTTATTGTAAGTTCAGTAATAAAATTGGGTGCAATAAAACACAGAAACGCCATGTAAAATTCCAAGAAATGGATGTTAGCACAGTTTTAACATCTGAAACAAGTTCATTAAAAACTAGTCCTGCTAAACAACGGAATTTCTCTGCGGTGGCGCCCAATCTATGGAATGCACTCCCCAGAGAGGTCCGCCTGGCGCCGTCGTTATTTGTTTTTCGGCGCCAGGTGAAGACCTTTTTATTTAAATGTCATTTTAATTGTTAACAGTATTTGCTTATTTATCTGGCCAGGGCGACTTCTTTTATATTGTTATTTTTATATTGTTATTTTTGTATTTTATTTTATGTTGTGAGCCGCCCCGAGGCTTCAGCGAATGGGGCGGCATAGAAATGTTTTAATAGATAGATAGATAGATAGATAGATAGATAGATAGATAGATAGATGGTGGCAGGCAATTCTGAGCTGATGCCTGGCGGGCCTCAGCGAGGGTCATCCCAAAACAGAGTATTTTAGGATGGCTCAGCCCCACATGGGCCATGAAACTTTGCCAAAGAGCTGGGCTGGTGGAGAGGAGAGCTGCTGGAGCCGGCGTGTTGGGAGCGATCCGCAGAACTGCTTGCGACGTTTGGGTCCTGCGGAGAGGCGGGCCAACGGCCAGTGTTCAGCACCGGCACTTCAGCATCCGCCCGGGGGCTCTGCAGGTGGGGGCGAGGTGAGGCAGCTGCTGCACCTGGTCAGCATGGCTCGTCTCTCTAGGATGGTGACTTGACGCACCACCAAAGACTCGGGCAGCAGGCGTGCGTGGAAACAGCACGTGTTCGTGTTGAGGGCAGACGAGGGAGGGGTCCTGTTTGGGGGTGAGACTCTGCCAGACTTGCTTGGCTCAGCTCCCAGGTTCCGGCTTGCTGCCCTCTCTCTGCCCCAAGGCCAGCCTGCACCAGCATTCCTGTAGGATCCAGCAGGGGGCTCAGCTTGCTTCCTAAGCCAGGACTAAGTGTGGAGAAGCATTCTGGCGAGCACAGCAGAGCCTGGTTCTAGCCAGGTCTTTGCATCCTTAGCTGATGCTGCAGCTAATGAAAATTGAACTGTACATCAG